CTTCCTTCCTTCCTTCCTTCCTTCCTTCCTTCCTTCCTTCCTTCCTTTCTTCCTTTCTTCCTTTCTTCCTTTCGTTTTTGTTTTTTTCAAGACAGGGTTCCTCTATGTAGCCCTGGCTGTCCTGGAACTCACTCTGTAGACCAGGCTACCCTCGAACTCTCGAACTCAGAAATCCGCCTGCCCCTGCCTCCCAAGTGCTGGGATTAAAGGCGTGCGCCACCACTGCCCGGCTGCCCTCATTGTTTCTTAAAAGCTCATTCTTATGGTGGTGTTAACATCTACTTCTGTGGATATTTATAAACAGTTGAGGCATCCAGCCATGTAGACAGAACAACTACTGGATTCTTAAACTTTCCACTAGGTCACAGCCATCATTGGAATAGTCAGACCAGAGCCTATGAGCTGCTCTAATAAATCCTATGCATATATGTGTATATATATACACAATCTTTCAGTTGTTTCCTCTAGAGAATTCTAACTAATACAACAAGAATGGCAGGCAATGGGACATTTTTCTTTCTTTCTTTCTTTCTTTCTTTCTTTCTTTCTTTCTTTCTTTCTTTCTTTCTTTCTTTTTTTGGTTTTTCAAGACAGGGTTTCTCTGTATAGCCCTGGCTGTCCTGGAACTCACTCTGTAGACCAGGCTGGCCTCGAACTCAGAAATCCCCCTGCCTCTGCCTCCCAAGTGCTGGGATTAAAGGCATGCGCCACCACAGCCTGGCAACATTTTTCAATGATACAAAGAAAGCTGTCAAAGCCACAAAAAGACACAGAGGAGAGCTGGGCACAGTGACTCACACCTGTAAGCCAGAGCCGGGAGCTGAGGCAGGAGAGGGCAACCTGTGCTAGCTAGTGAGTTTTAGCCAGTTCAACTACACAGTTAAGGCCTGCCTAAGAAAAAGTCTAGGCGCCTTTAATCCCAGCACTTGGGAGGCAGAGGCAGGTGGATTTCTGAGTTCGAGAGTTCGAGGGTAGCCTGGTCTACAGAGTGAGTTTCAGGACAGCCAGGGCTACACAGAGAAACCCTGTCTCGAAAAACCAAAAACAAAACAAAACAAAAAAGCCCCAAGAGATAGACAATATGACCACAGAAAGTATGTGCCAATGAGGAAAGTCACCAGACACTGTGTGTGGGTTGGTATAAAGGGAGGCAATCTGGCTAGACAGGTCAGTGAAGGGTTTCCTGAAGAAAAGGTGGTTGAATTAGGTTGCTGAAAAATAAGATTGTGTAAAATTTAGTAGAAAGGGGGAGATGTGGGAGGGATGTTATTCTAGAAGGATGGAATATCAAACACAAAGAGTTCCACCATGTAGGAGGAACACAGAAAGCAAGACAGAAAGTAGGTCATGGGATGGAGTGTGCAGATCACGTGGGACATTAAAAGATATGGCACCTGGCTTTATCCCCAAACCAATGGGAAGTCCTTTGAAAAACAGTGGTCACAGAAGAGAAGAATGGGGTGATCTGAGGGGGTTTGCATTTGGAAAATGTATGGCTGAGGTGTGGTGAAGAGAGTAAACAAGCTTACCCCTGGTGGCAGGGGTCAGCTATGAACCGTTGCAGTAGTCCACGTGAAGGACAAGGACTTGGAGAGGGTGGCAGCGGTGCTTAATGAGTTAAAATTGATGTGAGTGATTTAGGAGGAAAAAGTAGAATTGGTGATCGTTCAAGTGTGTTAGGGAAAAGGAAGAGGGTGCTGCCAAGTGTGTCGTCTACATTGAGAAGAAAAACACTCCTTTGACTTCTGTTCTGACTTGTATCTAAAATGTTACCCACAAACTCATGCTGTGATCATGTGCTGCCTAGATGACAGTGCTGCCTGGGGGAGGTGAGACCTGTAGGAGGTAGAGTTTGATAGCTTTCTTCTTTCCCATCCACAGTGCTGTGAGGAGCCTCTGCCACACATTCCTGAATCTATGAATGTGGCCACGTCTTTGTCCCTGTGACAGACTGAAATTTCCTGAAACCAGAAGCCAAAACAAGTCTTTCCTCCCTTAGGTTATGGTGTCAAATATTTTAGTCACTGTGCTATAAAAGCACCTAATAAAATTCTATGTGCTCCTCTAGCTGCTATTCCCTTTACCAGTTTTACACACGCACACGCACACACGCACACACACACACAGGCATACTCCTCTTGAGAGAGACAGCTATTACTTTCTCCATCTTCTCACATCTCATTGTTCTCAAGGATCGGTCTCCAAACCTATCATCGAACCAGCATTTCATGAAGGTTAAATGACCTCCATCTCCCCAAATCAAAGCCACCTCTCTGTCCTCTTCTTCCTCAACTTCAGACTTCAGTAGAACTGGCTCTCACCACCTTCTTGTAACATTTCTCACCCAGTTCTATGACTTTAGATTCACTACACCTTATCTTCCATTCTGGCTTCTCAGGTCACACTGACACAGCCAACTGTAACATCCATTGTGGACTTTAAGTAGGCTTTTAAACTCACACTGAACACACAACTTCTAGTTTATCGTCTCTCCCTCCAAATTGATCACCATTAAGATAATTTTCCCATCTCAGAAAATGGCACAACCTCTCAGCTGCTCGTGATAAAGTCCTAGGTGTCAGCCTTAGTCCTGTCACCTCTGTCTTCTCTCCTGACTTAATGTGCTCTTTCTATCAAGTCCACACTGTACCTGTAAGACATCACAGGTCCAGCTCCTACTTTTCATTTCCTCTGATCACACTAGTTCAAAACATCCTCCCCTCTCTCCGTGGATGAAAGCTAGGCTTCTCACTTGCCTGTCTCCTTTCTAGTTGCTCCATTAAAGCCAGGCTTCACAGAGAAACATCTTTTGGAATATCAGCCAGAACGGACATACCTTCTTATTAGGAGTGAACACTCACTATTATCAGCAGTCTCTTAAAATGTGCTGGGTGTTGTTGGCACATCCTAGCACTTGGCAGAAGCAGGAGGATCACTGTGGGTTCAAAGCTAGCCTGGTCTACATAGTGAGTTACAGCTGAGTCATGGCAACACAGTAAAACTCCATCTAAACAAACAAACAAACAAACAAACAAAAGGAACCATGTGATCTAACAAGTCTCTCTTAGATATTTACCTAGCAGGAAAACTGACTGTCATTGCTCCTTTTTTTCTTTCTTTCCTTTGTTTTTAAAGGAGACAGCCTCAAATTCACTATGTACTGCTGACCAGCCTTCAACTTCTGCCTCATCCTCCCAAGTGTCAAGAGAAATGAATTAATGAATTCTCTTTTTTTTTTTAATCCTTTTTTTTTTTTTTGGTTTTTTTTTTTGAGACAGTGTTTCTCTGTGTAGCCCTGGCTGTCCTGGAACTCACTCTGTAGACCAGGCTGGCCTCGAACAAAATGAATTATCATATTCAATTTTTTTTGAGGTAGTCTCAATATGTAGCTCAGGCTAACCAGGCCTCTTCATCCTCTTGCCATAGCCTCCCAAGTATTACAAAAACATGCCATCAAGCCTGGTTATAGTCTTTAAGTTGGGTATAATATTGCTTGTACTACATGGTGCTAAATCTAGATGAAACTATATATAAAGCAGTTAGAGCAGTGCCTAGCATATCATAAATACTCAGTATCCGAATGAGAAAGCTATTCTCATTTAAACACCTCACAATGGCACAAAAAAATAAAATCAATTCCCTATAATATAATGCCTACTAATTCCTATGGACTCTTCAATTTCATAATTATTTTTCTCTCTACTAATTATTGACATTGAACTTTCTGATAACTGGATAATGCCATGATCATGCCCCCTTTTGGAGTCTTGGTATTTGTTACCCCTTCAGCTTAGAAAGCTTTTTTTTTTTTTAAAAAAAATGTATTTATAAACTTTTTATTTAGTGTATGTGTGTGCATGTATCGTGGAGTGCAATGCACAAACGGTAGTCAGAGAACAATCCATGGGTGTCATGGTGTCATTTCTCTCCTTTCACCAAGGTGCCGTGGTGAGGGCCATTATGTGCAAGGCCATTTTGTTGGCCCTTAGGAAATTTTACACAAGGCATTTAAGAAGACTTATTCTTTTAACTCTAGTCTCAGACTGAACAGAGTCCTTGTACAGTCCTTCCTTGTCTACTTGTGTTTGCCCATCATCTGTTTCCTGTCAAGTCCAGGAGACAAGAACATTTGCTGCCTTGTTCCCAGTTGTATCCTCAATTCTAATAACAGTAGAAGATAGCCAACAAATACTTTCCTTTATTATTCATGTTTTATTGTGCATTTATTAAATATTTGCTGAAATAATGAACAAATGAATACTTCTAACTTGTACATGGTGGAGAGAGAGCTGCTGAGGCTTGAGCCCACTGGGAGAAAATGTGAGAAGGTAGACTTAGAATTTCTATTTTTGAAAATACCAGAATGCAAATTCTGAGCAGATTAAGTAAATAGAAACACAAAATTTTAGAGTTGAAAAGAAGGGGTCAGACAAACCCCGACACTATTGCTGATGCCAAGAAGTGCTTGCTCACAGGAGTCTGCTGGTATGGCTGTTTCCTGAGAGGCTCTGACAGCACCTGACCAATATAGATGCAGATACTCACAGTCATCCACCAGACTGAGCCTGGAGACTTCGATGGAAGAGCTAGGGGAAGGACTGAAGGAGCTAAAGGAGATTGCAATCCCATAGGAAGAACAATATCAACTAACTGGATCACCCACAGCTCCCAGGTACTAAACCACCAACCAATGAGTATACATGGAGGGAGCCATGGCTCCAGATACATATGTAGCAGAGGATGGCCTTATCTGACAGCCATAGGAGGGGAGGTCCTTAGTCCTGTGGAGGCTTGATGCCCCAGTTTAGGGAGATGCTAAAGCGGTGAGGTGGGAGTAGGTGGGTGGGTGGAGAAGCACCCTCATGGGAGCAAAGGGGAGAGAGGATGGTATGGAAGGGTTGTGGAGGGGAAACTGGGGAAGGGGAATATCATCTGAAATGTAAACAAATAAAATGATTTTTTAAAAAAATTAAAAAAGAAAAGAAGGTGTCAACTGATCTTTTGTGTGTTTCTGGAGGGAGAGCACTTTTAGACCATGTTGGAAGATTTTGTCAGTTCTCTTAACTGGCTCCTAAAGAAAGGGGGGTCTCCCTTCAGTCATGCCTTAACCTCCAAACTGGAAGGTAACCCTTAATTTCTAGCATTAGATTACAACCAGATCCATGTCTTCCATGTAAAATAGGATTTGTTATTCCTCAGGTTTTCAACACACAGACTGCCGTTATCTCTCTAGCTCAGCAGTTCTCAACCTGTGGGTTGTGCCCTCTCCCCATTAGGGGTCACACGACCCTTTCACAGAGGTCACATATCAGATATCCTGCATATCAGATATTTACATTACAATTCATAAAGCAGCAACATTACAGTTTTGAAGTAGCAATGGAAACGACTATGGTTGAGGGCCACCACAGCATGAGGAACTGTGAAAGGGTCACAGCATTAGGAAGGGTGAGAACCACTGATCCAACCTTCTTACACAGAAAGCCTTTCCAACCAAATGGTCTCCAACCAAACCCTAGATTATAGAATTAATTCTATCATAGTTATTTAAGTTTAACAGTTATTGAAAAAAGCCTTTCATTGAATTTTTAATAACAAAAACACAGACAAACTTTCTAATAAAGCCTTACCTTCGCTTACAAATCAGGAACCACAAAGCAGATGCCAAAGCAAAGAATCCAATTCCCAGACTAACAGCACCAGCAGCCAGAAAATAGGTTAAGTGACTAAAGAAACCTATAGAAATACATGGTAAAAGATCATTTCATGCACGTCTTTACTCACTAGGTAAGTTAATGATGTAATGTTTACAATGAGATAACATGTGACATTAAGACTGACCAAGAAACTGAGGAGCCTGAATTTTAGTCCTATACTGTCCAAATAAATGGGAAGACCCAGAGTTAGAGAACAATACAGGACACATCATAAATAGAATTGGGAAAGCCCATAGGGATCTCACTTTAGAGACAGCAAAATTGAAGACCATGTAAAAGCAGTAACAGAACCAAAGCTGTGCAGTAATTCATGCCAGGGTTCTGATTTTGTCCTTTTCTTTTTCTTTCTTTTCTTTCTTTTTTTTTTTTTTTTTGCTAGCAAACATCTCAATGTATTTATAAAAAAAATAAGACTTAAGAAATTATGATGTAAGTAGAGTGAACTCTGATATGCAAGCATAAGGCAAACTGCAGAAAGCTTTCATAGACCAACCTAGGTATCTAACAACAGAGGGGTGTGTGTGTGTGTGTGTGTGTGTGTGTGTGTGTGTGTGTGTAGTCACAAACACTCAGGGAAGCTTTTCTAAGGCATTAAGATGAGAAAAGCTATGCTATATACAGGAAAATGGATGCGAATGGAGATGGGTCAGAAAGACAAACATCGTGCTTTCTCGTATTCATGGCTCCTGTGTATGGAGACACAAAATCATGTATATAGAAGTGAAGCTATCTAGGGGGACAGAGGAACTAATGGGGGGGGGAATGACAAAAAGAGGGTGGAGAGCCCTGGGGAGTATGCTCAACAAGCAATATTTACTCACATGGTAATTTTAGATTTCATTTTTGTTTTATGTGTATAGGTGTTTTGCCTGCATGTGTGTCTGTGGACCACCTGAGTGCCTTGAGCTTGCAAAGGCAAGAAGGCAGTGTTGGATCCCCTGGAACTAGGATGGTTGTGAGCCCCCATGTGGGTACTAGGGATCAAATCTAGGTCCTTGAGAAGAGCAGTCAGTGCTCTTGATTGCTAAGCCACCTCTCTGCTCCCGTTATTTGTGTGTTTGTTTGTTTCAAAAGACTTCTTTAGCTGGGCAGTGGTGGCACACGCCTTTAATCTCAGTACTTGGGAGGCAGAGGCAGACGTATTTCTGAATTTGAGACTCGCCTGGCCTACAGAGTGAGTTCCAGGACAGCCAGGGCTACACAGAGAAACCCTGTCTCGAAAAAACAAAACAAACAAACAAACAAACAAACACCCTCCCCTTCCCCCACTAAGAGACTTCTTTAGTACCATGGGTTTTTTTTGTTTGTTTTTTAATTTTCTAAGTGATTTCTAGCTTCAAGATAGTACCCCTCATATTGTAACTTACTGAGTTTGAAAATATCTACATTCAGCCAGGCATTGGTGGTGCACACCTTTAATCCCAGCACTGAGGAGGAAGTGGCTGGAGGATTTCTGTGAGTTGGAGGCCAGCCTGGTCTACAAAGTGAGTTCCAGAACAGCCAGGGATATACAGAGAAAACCTGTCTCAAAAAGCAAGCAAACAAAACAAAACAAAACAAAACAAAACAAAAACAAATCTACATTCTAGAATTTTTTTTTTTAAAGATTTATTTATTTTATTGTGAGTACACTGTAGCTGTCTTCAGACACACCAGAAGAGGGCATCAGATCACATTACAGATGGTTGTGAGCCACCATGTGGTTGCTGGGAATTGAACTCAGGACCTCTGGAAGAGCAGTCAGTGCTCTTAACCACTGAGCCATCTCTCCAGCCCCCCATTCTAGAATTATTGATATGGAAATTTTACTATAAGGCTATTTATCAAAGTGATATTTTAGACACAAAAAGACTATAAATGGCCCAAATTAGAAAGTTATTAAATAAGTTACATGTGAGCAGTAGTGTTAAATTTGAGTGCAGACTTCCTCAGTATCAGCACTGTAGAGCTTTTGGATTACACACTTTTTTTTTAAAAAAAAAGATACTTCTTAGCTGGGCGGTGGTAGTGCACACTTTTAATCCCAGCATGAGAGAGGCTGAGGCAAATGGAACTCTGTGAGTTCAAGGCCAGCCTGGTCTACAGAGAGAATTCCAGGACCCTGACACAAACAAATAAGCAAACAAACAAACAAACAAGCAAACAAGAGGAAGATATTTCTTGTGGACTGGAGAGGTGGTCCAGTTGTGAGAAGTACTTGCTGCCCTTCCAGAAGACCTGAGTTGGCTCCCAGGACTCTCACCAGGCAGCCCACACTGTCTGCAACTCCAGTTCTCAAGGAACTCACACATCTGGATCTGCCACACCTCTGCAGATTCCTGTCCTCACATGCACATGCTCTCAAATAGACACACACACGTCTAGATAGAAAAATAAACATAAACCTTTAAACATATTATTTCTTTTAAGGCATGCTATTAATCCCAGAACTCAGGAGGCAGAGGCAGGCCAATCTCTGTGAGTTTGAGACCAGTCTGCTTTACATGGTGCAGACTAGGAAATCCAAGGTTATACAGGGAGACACTGTCTCGAAAAAATAAAATAAAAAAATTTTAAATCTAGATTTCTTTTTTTTTTGGTTTTTCGAGACAGGGTTTCTCTGTGTAGTCCTGGCTGTCCTGCAACTCACTCTGTAGACCAGGCTACCCTCGAACTCTCGAACTCAGAAATCCGCCTGCCTCTGCCTCCTAAGTGCTGGGATTAAAGGCGTGCACCACCACCGCCCTACTCTAGATTTCCTTCTTTATTACTTTCTCTTTCTTTTGGTAATGGGGTTCTCAAAGAATAAATTAAAATATTATAATTAAAATAAAAATGAATAAGAAGTAGTTTTAATGTACTGAAAATGACGATAACATCAGAAACTTTAAAAAGTGAGGAAATGCCCATATGGCCAATAATCATGAATAAACCTTATTAATTATAAATGTAGTATGAATTAAACCACAAATAAAATGTCATGAACACTACATCCAATATATTAAGGGGAAAATGAAAAAGACAAAATATGGACTGTTGACAAGGGACTAGGAATCTGAAGTCACTTCCACTGCTTTGGGAATACTTTTGGGAGCAGCTCTGGGAAAGTGGCTCCATTATAGCCAGGCATATGGATACTCTACAGTTCAGCAATTCAACCAATGACACGTGCAACTCAAGTCCACATACATGTTAATGAAACATGTAGCAGAGGGTTTACAGAAGTGTGGTTTGAGGCAGCTCACTATTTGAAAAATGCACAAAAGCCCATCAGAGGTTGAATGAATAATTTTAAAAGCAGATTCTACAACCATGTATAACAAGATGTACAATGAGTGGGAAAAGAGCGAACTATAACCAAGTATAACAAGATAAATTCCACAGATAAAATGTTGGGCAAAAGCAGACATCCAACACAGATATCAAGGGAATTATAGGTAATGCTGAATATGTTGTTTCTTGTCTTAGGTATAGACACATGTGCAGACATGTATACTGAGACTTCAGCAACCCCAGCACATGATACTTAGCAATACATCAAATTTATGACAGTCATTATCTCTGGGTGAACAGGACTATGGTAGAAATACAAACTGACTTAATGTTCCATCCTTAAGATACAAGGCTAAGATGACAAAAAAACAAACAAAAAAACAAAAAAAACAAAAAACCGCTCGTTTTGGAGATTGTGTGGGTATTTGTTTTTGTCCTTTTTTTCTACTTCATTCTTTTGAATTTTCCCTACTATTCAAACATTGTAAAAAATAGTGTTCTAAATTTTGAAACAAAAAAAAGAAGAAAAATGAAAAACAAATAAGGAAAACCATCAATGGGCTGTCACGGGGCACAGGCTTATAGAAACTTTTCTATATTATCCAATTCTTCCAGTGCTAGAGTACCTGCCTCACATAAGCCCTGGGGTAGTCTCTAGCAACAGAAAAAAAAATCAAGACTCAGGGAAAGAATAACAGAATCAACAATCTTATATTATCATATTAAAAATTAACGTATAAAAATGAAGAACACACAAAAGTTGAAATAAAAAGATGCTGCCAATAATGAACGCTAATATATTTAAAGCTTACTTAAAATAATGAATACCTGAAAAGTGATTTCTAAAAGTGAGTCAAGAAGTGACAGAGCTTCCTGTGGTGACAGTGCCCCAACCAACAGTGACTGCTCCTAAGACCTGCAGGACTTTCTGCAAGAGATGTGTGTAGTACCAGCCCCACAAAGCAACACAGTACAAGAAGAGCAAGGATTCTTAGCAATACATCAAATTAAATTCTTAGCAATACAGGGAAAGGCATTATGATTGGAAACAGAATGGCTATAATGGCAGACTAACATTGTTTCTGTGAAAAGGGTAAACCTACTGAGAAGATTGTGCTGAGCCTAACTACAGATCTAAGTGAGCACTGGCTAGTAAGACAGAGCATTGAGAGATTCCAGCACTGTAAACAGAAGTGATAAGAGAAAGGGCTTTGTCATGCAGTTCTAAGTTGAATTTGTTATGAAGACAGTAAAATCACAAGCTTTTACTCAAATTATAAAGAAAGGAGATTAAAAAGAAAGGCAGAGAAGGGGGAGGGAGGGAGGGAGGGAGAAAGAGAAAGAGAAGAAAGAGAAGAAGCAAGGGCCGGGCAGTGGTGGCGCACACCTTTAATCCCAGCACTTGGGAGGCAGAGGCAGGCGGATTTCTGAGTTCGAGGCCAGCCTGGTCTACAGAGTGAGTTCCAGGACAGCTCAAAAAACAAACAAAGAAACAAACAAAAAAGAGAAGAAGGAAGGAAGGAAGAGAGAGAGAGAGAGAGGGAGAGAGAGAGAGAGAGAGAGAAAGAGAACCAAGGGAACTCAAATTCATTACATTGAATCAGCAATTACAAAAATTTTCCCCCAAAGACATTGGTGGTCCCCAAAATGTTACAATTTCTACTGTATACCCATGATGCTAGCTAGCATTCCTTAGCTTATACAAGTTCTTCCAGAGAAGAGAAAGATTTCTGGCTGTTCCTCCAAACACATTTTCTTCTTTGTAGGCAAAACACTGTCTCACCATTAGATGAAGCCATGTGACGGAGTTCTGACCAATGGAATCTGAGAGTAATGATGTCATAAAGGCCTTCTGAAGTTCTTTCTTCCAGACTGTGGGAGGATGAAGGTGATCCCCAAGGAAACTGTGGAAGTCGCAGGTTGATGGCATCAATCTACGGCATCTAATCAACATCATAGAAAATTCATCCTCACAAGAGCTCACATTCTTTGTAAGGGTGTGTCCTGTATTTTCCAACATGAGAAACAATTGGAAACTAGTAAACTTGGAAATGATACATTTTGAAACAACACCCTGACAACAAGAAATCACGGGGAGATACAGAAAAATATTTTTAATGGGATTAATGAAATATCATGTCAAGGTTTGTGAGGTACCATGCAAGCAATACTCGGGGACTTGAATTGACGTTTTTCCCTCCCCTATAAGGGAGAAACTCACTAGATGTCTAAAATTATTGATGCCAAGCATAGTGGCTCATACCTTAAATCTTAGAACATGAGAGGCAGAGGTAGGTGGATCTTTCTGTGTTCAAGGCCAGTCTGGTCTACATAGTAAGTTCTAGGACAACTAGGTCTACATTGAGAGGCACTGTCACAAAACAAACAAAATGTTGCTCCATTAGTACAGATTTCTTGAAAAGATCAAAGTTTTATTCTTAGTGAATTATAGCTCTAGATTCCATAGTCTAAAAGCTCATGTGAAAGAGGCTCTAAAAATAAATCATGGTTTCTCTCCTACTTCTGCTTTGTCTGTTGTTTGGGGTTTTGTTTGTTGTTTGTTTCCCTTTTTTTTTCTTTTCTGCATAGTATTTCTGTGTAGTCCTAGCATAGAACTCAGAGATCTGATTCTGTTTGTTTCCACAGTGTTTTTAATGTGAATGAACTCACATGAATTATAGAGACATTTAATGAGCTCCTTCTGCTGGTCACTGTGAATATTCTTTCTTGATAATGTGTTCAATGCCATCTACCTACTGTTTCTAATTTTAGAACTATTTATCTCATACTTTCAAATATGCCTTTGCTATTAGTCTTTTGTTTGTTCGTTGTTTGTTTGTTTGAGACAGTCTCACTGTGAAGTTCTAGTTGGCCTGCAACTTACTATGTAGACTAGGGTGGCCTCTAAATCACAGAGATCCACTTGATGTCCACTTGACTTTGACTCAAGAGTGCTGGGATTAAAGGTGTTTGCCATCACCCTTGGTTAGAATTTTTTTTAATTAAAAAATTGTATGTGGATATATGTGAGCCAGAATGTACGTATGTATACCATGTGTGTGCAGATGTCTACAAGCCAGAAGAGGGTGTCAGATCCCCTGGAGCTAGAGTTACAGGTGGTTGGGAGCCACAGGCAGGGTGTAGATATAGGGAATCAAACCCAGGTTCTCTTGCAAGAACAGCAAGTGTCTTACCTCTGAGCATCTCTCCAGCCCCCAGTTTTTATGAATCATATAGTTACATTGACTGGGTAAAAATTTAGCCTCATACAGTACAAGGAAATATTTGAACCTTCCTTTTTTTTTTTTTTGGTTTTTTGAGACAGGGTTTCTCTGTGTAGCCCTGGCTGTCCTGGAGCTTACTCTGTAGACCAGGCTGGCCTCAAACTCAGAAATCCGCCTGCCTCTGCCTCCCAAGTGCTGGGCTTAAAGGCGTGCGCCACCACCGCCCGGCTTGAACCTTCCTTCTTAAAGTCATTCTTCAATAACTTGAGACAGCCTTTGCCTGAACTTATAGGCGGCACTAAGATTTTTATTGGGAATGTACTTTCCCAGTTTACCAAATTGTTCCTCAGTAGAGTTCTTCATGAAAAATGATTTTTTTTTCAACAAGAAGAATGTGTTGGCTGGACATTATGGTCCAGGCCTTTAGTCCTAGCACTTGGGAGGCAGAGGTAGTCAGGCTTCTGTGAGTTCAAGGCCAGCCTTGTCTACATAGTGAGTTCCAGGTGAGTCAGGACTACATAGTGAAACCCTGTCTCTAACCGAAGAGGAGGAGGAGGAGGAAAAGGAGGAGAGGGAGGAGGAGGAGGAGGAAGAAGAAGAGGAGGAGGAAAAGGTTGACATGTTTCCTTTCACATTTTGCTTTGTAGAAGGCTAAGAGTTAAGTTTTACTTTAAAAATCATTTATTATGTAGACTTTTCTATTTTTATAAAATACATTGTCAATATTACATCTTGACTTCTTACTGTGTTTTTCAGTGTCTTCTTTAAGTCTGGTTATATTCCAGATACAAAGAGCATCAGTGACCACAGAGATGGCTCAGCTGATAAGGTGCTCACTACACAAACCATGAGGATCTGGATTTCAGCATCCATATAAAAAGTAGAGCTCTGCAGTATGCACCTGAAGTTCCAGCGCTGTGGTGGCAGAGACAGGGGAATCCCTAGGGCTTGCTAGCTAGCCGGCCTAGCCAACAAATAAGCTCCAGGTTCAATGAGAAACTCTATCTCAAAAATTAAGGCAGATAGGAATTGAGGAAGATATTCTACATCAACATCTGGCCTCCACATGCACTTGTGGGTACATACACATACACACACACACACACACAGACACCTGCGCTCACATGTGCAGACAAAGGAACATCTATGTACACATACAGCCCTGCAAAGAATATCATGTGTTAGAGACAACATTCTGGGTTTTCCATCATAAGCCAGAAAAAAGGAGCTTAATATTTATTATGACCAAATCAATAGTTATAGAAAATATTTTATATTTTCTTAATGGGCAATGTAAGTAGTTTCCTTCTTCAGATCTATGTTTTCAGTTGTAATCTGGGTAGGTAATTTCATCCGAAGGCATCAATCTAGACATGACATTAAATTTCAGTACAAACAAGTCTTATAATGTATGCCAAGACAAAACAACAACTCTGCCATAAAATGAAAGTCTGGACAAAACCAAAATATTCCTTTTTTTTTTTTTTTTTTTTTTTTTTGGTTTTTCGAGACAGGGTTTCTCTGTGTAGCACTGGCTGTCCTGGAACTCACTCTGTAGACCAGGCTAGCCTCGAACTCTCAAACTCAGAAATCCACCTGCCTCTGCCTCCCAAGTGCTGGGATTAAAGGCGTGCGTCACCATCGCCCGGCTTCTATTTTCAATAATCAAAAACACTAAGTGCAATAAACAAAAGGAATAAAGAGAAGTTTCTCTGGTCAAAAGAAAATGTAGCAGTCAGTCTCCCTCCCTCTCTCTCTCTCTCTCTCTCTCTCTCTCTCTCTCTCTCTCTCTCTCTCTCCTCTCTCTCTCTGTTAGAAGCCAGTTAAATCTTAGTGGAAAATGTACTGAGCTGTCTTCTAATTCTGCATCTTGACCTCATGGAGATACAAGAAAGAAGACTGCAGCTAATGAGTTAAAACATTTTAAATCTACAAAGTTATTAAATATTTGTTATTAATCTTGTGAGAATAAAAGTCAACTTTCTCAATTCTCAAACTAGAACATCCACTTTATTACTTGTGTATGTTCCACATAAAATATACTTAACTCCTTTGAGAAATAATGAGTGACTTTGTATCTTTGCCAGAACCTTGTCTTACACTGATTGCTGTCTGACCCCATGGAGTCATTTGCCCATGGGCAAATGAAATCTGAAATATTAACTATGTAATAAGTAAGCATTACAAGTAGTAAGTGACCCTCTAGAAAGTACGTTAGCATAGTATAGTAGATTTCTTTCTCTAAAGAAATGCCTCTGGGGGTGTAGAGAAGATGGTAGATTCAAGATACTCAGAACTTTCCTATGGCTCCAGAAATCTGAAAATAAAATCTCAGGTTCATGATTACTGGTGGGTGTGGATGGCACGGAAAGACAAGGAAGGGTGATGGTAAACAGTAGGCAGAGAAGAGATAAAAATCAAGAAATGTTGGACTTTCAATTTATTAAAAAAAATGGTGGTAACAGCACTAGACAAAATAGTAGGGAAATGAAGGAAACAGAGCAGACATCTGTAAGCTCCACTGGCACCAACTGGCAGAACTGCGTGTACACTGGAGAGGGAGGCACCACCTAGCTTGCCTGCTACTGCTGTGGAAGGGGATCATTCTAGAAGTCTTACATTCATGTCTTTCATTCAGGGAGAGCAGAAGACCAATAGCTCCCTGACCCCCAGCTAAATGAGTGAGCACTCTGAGAGCCTGGGAGCAACTAGTACCCTGATTTACACACACACACACACACGCACACACACACACGCACACACACACACACGCACACGCACACGCACACGCACACGCACACGCACACACAGAGAGAGACAGAGAGACAGAGACAGACAGAGACAGAGACAGACAGAGAGACAGAAAGACAGTTCTACTTGGGTTAAAAATATGAGTCTTTCTGAACAAGGGATTTGGAAGTGACTATGTGAGAGCAACTGTTGTTCAAATTCTGGTAGAGAGAGATCATAGTTATGTATACTAGTAGCTGCATAGGGCAGAGATCTTCATGGCTAGGGCACACAGGACCTCTTGACCCTCTGGCACACATGGCTTTGGTCTTACTACTTTCTGTATTCTCAGAGGGCCAGAGAGACTTGGTAGAAAGTAGCTGCTGCTCTGAGATTTCTTGTGCCAAACTCACTTGTGCTGGCGGCGGGAGGGGGCATCCAGGAAGGGGGTTGGGTAATGTGATCCGTAGTCTCAGTGGTGGGAGCAGTGAAGGGGAGCTCCTGTGTGCTCTGTGTTGGCACGTCTGCAACAGAAAAACACTGACAGGATTCAGCCTGGAAACCAGCACAGTGGAGCGTCCTGGAGGGGGCAGAGCCTTATCTGCAAATGACCCTTAGTGGTGTAGTCCATTTGGACATCAGAGAGAAAACAGCTGCTCCCCACCCCCGGGAAAGTACTTAAGGACATGCCTGAGGTGGGATGGGGACAAAGAATTTACTCTCTCTCTTCAGAAAAGAATTTGTCTAAAGTGTTTCTCATTATTTCTACCATCACCCCATATGATTGTCTCTTTAACCTTTTGTTACATTTGTTTATTTTAT